CAATTTTGAAATACTCCCATATTTTGTTTTCGTCCCAATCGCTATATTCTGTCATACAGTTGTACACGTTGATAAGCTCAGCTTTAATTGAATTCCAGTTTGAGTTTTTATATACTGGGATGGATCTTGGTTTTTGAATATTTTTTGTGGGTTAAGGTTCAACTCTGCATAGACTATGTCGTGGTGAGAGAGACCAGGGATAATTTCTGTTCGAATTATTTGGTTTGGTAAATTTGTAATGAGGAGATCAAGGATATTTTCATTTCTGGTGGGTTGATCGATTAGCTGGGTGAGTGCCGTGTCATCCTGTAAGTTGGCAAAATCATAGTGTATTTTTACATGATTTGTTTTGGGTTTGAGGACTTTGTTTTTCCAGTCCCAGCCCGGGAGATTGAACTCGCCAACTATAATGAGGGCTGCATTATTAATTTTGGCGGCTTCTTTGATGGAAAAGCTAAACAATCTCATACTGTTTTCGTCAGATGTTTTGGGCAGATATAGAGTGTTTTACTACCGATTACATTCACTTTGGCCCATTTAGATTAACTGGCCTTGTTTGGTGTCAGATCATGTACTTCTTCGCTGATGAGATGGTCTTTTATAGCGATCAGTACACCACCACCATCTTTATCAGTTTCTGACTGTTTTCTGTCATTTCGGTAGATCTTATAGCCCGAAGGGAAGATTTCGGCTGATTTGTTATGCTCGGGTTAAGCCAGGTTTCAGTCCCAATCACTATATCAGGTGTAGTGCTATCCAAGACATTTTCAAGAAGATGTTGTTTATTTCGAATCGACTGGAATTTGATGTTAACAATTCGCAGTGTTTTTTGTTTATGTCTTTTGTGTGGACCTGTGCTCTGTCTAACAGGAGTCGAAGAATGGATTGGTTTGTATTGGAGTACACAATTACCGATGTTGGTATCTGTACCCAAATCACCAAGAGGAGACAGGGTGTCATAGGGGTTTGATGTATTGATCCCATTTATGTCGAACACAATTTGGCTGTAATTTGGGTGATTACAAACAATACAATGCCAGCTTACATCGCTAACATTCAGATCTTCAAATGTTTCTGTGTGTACGTTTTGACAGTTTATGTGGTACCACTGATTACATGTCTCGCACATGATACCCCTATGGTTCCAGTTAATAGTACTGTCACACGTACCACACATATACTTAGTACTGGTTTTTTTTGGGTCAGGATTGATTTCGACGTCATTTGAGTTTAGTATGACTAAGGCCAATAAGAAATACAAGGCTCTCCCTGACTTTAATTTTGGTATAGATTTCATGGACTTAAACAATTTGTACAGCATATGGTCATAGCCAGGGTCATTTGATTTTTTGTCAGAGATGGTAAAGTCTGTAAACAGGTACAGGGGATGATGAAACTCATAATCTACTTTCGTTTCTATATGAAGGTAACACTTTGATGTTATTTCATGAGGCACAACACTATTCCAATCAATGATTTTGGTCAAGCACTTGTTTTCTAAGTGCCAGTCTCGGTAATTAGGTCGCTACATATACCCATACACATATAACAGTTCTTGATACACACTCATATATAAAATATAAGATTTTGAACGCGCACACATACCTCATTCATATTACCAATACAGACATATTTATCTTGTCACATAGACCATTAAATGTTAAGTGTTACACGGACCATTAATTTTTAAGTGTAACACGGACCATTACTAGTTAAGTTTAACATGGTCGATTGATTGTTAAGTGTTACATAGACCATCAATTGCTAAGTGTTACACGAACCATTAAATGTTAAGTGTTACTCGGACCATTAATTGTTTAGTGTTACACGAACCATTAAATGTTAAGTGTTACTCGGACCATTAATTCTTTAGTGTTATACGAACCGTTTAATTGCTAAGTGTTACATGGTCCATAGATTGTTAAGTGTTACTCGGACCATAAAATGTAAAGTGTTACACGAACCATTAAATGTTAAGTGTTACTCGGACCATAAAATGTTAAGTGTTACACGATCCATTAAATGTAAAGTGTTACTCGGACCATAAAATGTTAAGTGTTACACGGACCTTTTAATGTTAAGTGTTACCTTGATCATTCCTTGCTTAATGTCAAACACTCTGTTCATTGTCAAATGTTAGACTAACCATTGTTCATTGTCAATTGTTAGACTAACCATTGTTCATTGTCAATTGTAACACTAACCATTTTTGTAAAATGTTACGCAGATTTGGTTTTGTGTAACATTGACCAGTATTTGCAGAGTGTTAAATAAATTAATAATTATCAAGAAGTGTTACACGGAATATAAATTGTAAAGTATTGCATGGACCAGTCCTTGTCAAATCTTACATGGACAATTTATTCTTAAGTTTTACACGAAACATTTATGGTTAATTGTTACAAGGGACCATTTATGGAACATATCATTGTGTATATGTCAATTAAGTCTTTTGGGCTAGGCATGTGGATGGAATTTGTGTAATAAAACTTCGTTTTCATCATTAAAAAAGAAACGTTGTGGTTTAACATGTCACTGACGCATATAGTTAATATATTGGCAATACTACATGGGAGTAAAAAAAACACCCATAGAACTATACTTCAAGAAAGCATGATTCCATTCGAAGCCTGAATAGACGGGTAATCTGATGTGTGCCTGTCACATTTCTGTCCATGTACACTGACAGACATGTACTGTCTACAACAGTGATTTATATGGATCGTAATGCATCCGTAACATTGTCCACACAAAGGCTATTCTATCATTCACCGTGGGACATTTGTTGGCGCGTCAGGGTTGATGGGACGCTTAGATGTTGTGAATCAATATCATAAATGTGTTTATAGTTTGATGTTTTCTGGGTTTTCGCGATACAGACAGTTACAATTGAGCTCTACATGCCATGAATCATGTAAACCGGAATGTAGTGGAACGGATACATTTCCCGCCCTCGTGGGATGTGATGTATAATATGGAGCCCAACTCTCGTCTTTGGCTAGAGGCACCATCATGTGTCTGTTTGTAGCGGGCCTGGACTTGTTTGATTGGCAGTGTCCAGATGACACTGAACAATATCTGGCACGGGAAGATTTCGAACGTCCAGGGTGAAGGTCCGTATCTAGCCGTTATATTTTACCACGGTCTAAACTGGAATGATGTTAACAACAAACGCTATTCATTATTGTACCACAATATATTAGTGGTTAAACGTCCGCTCCCCCCCCCCCTCCCCCGGTAGGTTCGGGTAAAACATAGGCTTGCTGTATCCAACTACATGTCGAAAAGGCGGCTAATGAAGATTTTGAAGAAACCACAGTTAATCTGCCGTTTTGGGTCATTTATAGTTTCTCTCCACTTCCTGAAACCTTTTTGTTTCCTAATGCCTTGCTAGGCAATGCTTCACTTTGGCCTTAGTGTTAAGCGTTCGTCCAAGTGGGGTAGGCAACGGGTTCTGTCTCCATATGGGGACATACCAAAGTCCTTAAAATGGTAGTTGTTATTTCCTACTTAATCTTCAGCATTTAGGGTTATCGCACCAACTGTTTTACGCGTTGTCAGTATAATGGAATCGTATGAATACTGTGCAGTGTGCTTTCGGCAAGACAATTCAGTGAGGTACAGTTGTAGCACTTTAAAGTCGGCATCACATCCACGCTATCACAAGGAAGCAAACACATCAACATACCCTGCTTCCAGAACTCACACACGAACACACACACATTAAACACACGAAGATGCGTCCTTAAATGACCGTTGCTGCTAATAAGGCGTTACAAAACATAAAACAAAACAAAACAGTTCAATAGCTAAGGTCATAGTGATGTTTTCCGATGATTTTACCACATGATGGGACTAATCAGAGGTATTTGTGTAATTCTACCACATCAAAATATCACAAGGTGGTCAAGTGGGTATAAAAGCTCACCAACAATATTCTGACAATGATATATTAAGACATATGAGGGGAAACAACGCCAAAATGAACGATACATTAAGAAAAAAGACTTCCACTTGTTGTTATGGAGGTAGCTGACCAGTATTTGGGGTATTATCTATCCAAAGCTACGTGGCATTATTAGGCGTAATATGTCTCAATTGATACCTCACAACTTGTCTAAGGTTACACTCATTTGATCCAAATCGATAATTGTATTTAGTTTTTACAGTCGTTTTGTAGGGATAACCCCTATTTTTAATCAAGTACAGAAAACGTACGAGTGTATTAAAAAGGGTTTGATCACTTCAGGGTCCGTTTGACCTCTCATCTTGTTACTGGTCAATAGCTGTTCCAGATTATGTTGCAATTACGTCATTATTGCTGACCAGATGATTCTCTCTGATGACATCATCCATCAAATAGTAACAGTCAACCGTCACGTATCCGTAGACTTCCGTCGGGGCTTTAATGTCACCCTTTCAAGTCGGAATCAAGTTGAATGGGATATTATAAAATATTCAGGTTGATTTTATTGGAAACGATGTTGGAGCTTATTCAAATAAGAGCAATTGAAGCTTAAATTCGAGTTTAATGAAGTTTGGACTAATTGCAGATTAAGTTTGCGCTTATTGGAGATGACGTTTGGGTGTATTTGAGTTTGAGCTTATTTGAGATTCAGTTTAAGCTCAGCTTGAGGCAGATTCAACATAATGGTAAAAAAATGCGGCTCAAATTTGAGGAAGCCCTAATAATGTACATTTGAGTCATTTACTGTTAATGCTTAATGATTGTATGAGACGACTAGTATTGACAACGTATTTGAGGAAACTGGCCCTGAACATGTTCATATGAGTAGCGTAGCTCTAATATTTTTTATTTGTGTAAACTGGCCCTGATAATGTATATATTTTAGTAGCCTAGTATTGTAATGTACATTTGAGTATCGCGGCCCTAACAATGTACGTTTGCGTAGCCTGGCCCCGATCGTTTACATTTATGTAAGCTGGCCCTAATAATGCATATTTGAGTATCCTATCACTAAAATATACATTAGAGTAGCATGGCCCTTGTAAGTTACATTTATATACATTTGGATATCCTGGCCCTGATAAAGTTCATATCCTGGCCCTGATAATGTCCGTCCAGTTCTGTGATAAGAACACCACGTCAATAAATCGGAGTCGATGTTATTGTAAAGTTTTCCCGAACGTATCACACTCTCGACGAAGAACATCCAGTACAACACAGGACGTGATCACTATCACGTCACCCACAGCTCACAGACTTAATCCACAGGCTGTGTGATTTGTAGGCTATTCATAGCGATATCACGAGAAAGGGGCCAGCAAAGCTGTCTTCACCAGATAGGAACCCCCAGGGTAAGGCATGCGTCACATGTTACTGTTGCCTTCACAATCATACCGAGGCAGCTTCTGCCAAACGTGCATATTTGTCACAGAAAAAAAACTCCCTGACGAATGCTCCGCTACAATAACACGGGAGGGAAGCTATAAACATGATAGGTACTCGAACCCGTTAACTTCCAAACTCAATAGGACGGTGTTTTGTCTGTAAGGCTTCAGGACCATTCAGGGGGTCAAAGTACCTATCTGTTTTGACAGGAAATGCAAAGATCCTTTATTGGAGTTCCGAACCCGAAACTCTCAAAATAAACTATTTTTGCACTTTATTTCACTTCGTGTTGAATTTTAACAGCACGGATGATCATGTCACTACCTATAACACGATTATCACAACTCGCTCTATCTAAAGGTTACACTGCCATATAGTACTAGTAGCCTGGCAATGTATACATATATTGGTATACTGGTAGCCAAAACATAGTAAATTGTCACGACAACATACAGTAAAGAGCCAGGGTAGACACCTGCAACCTCAACAAGCACGTGTAATACAACTCAACCATAGAAACGAAAGTCCTGTAGCGTCAACCTACATAGCGTTAATCTGTGCACAAAAGATGCAACCCACACTTATTGTAGATCTAGGGACAAAATATCGGTACCAGCAATATTTTACATCTTATAATCTAGACAAAATGTCTTTGACCGTAACCTACTATATTTTAACCGAGGGACAAAAGCATTGGGGCAATAATTTACTGCATTTTTAATCCCGGGACTTACTTTCTCTAGCAACGACTAACTAAATTTAAACCTAGGGACAAAAGCTGTTCTACGTCAACTTAGTACAGTTCTTAATGGAAACATCCTTGACTGTAAACTACGTTTTCAACCCAGGAACAAAAGTATTTTAACAACAATTTACCACATTTTAAAATCCGAACCAAATCGTTAGAGCAACACTTTTCTGCATATTTTACCACCGGGACAAATTTATTGTTACTACATTTTAAACCCCATGACAAAAGCATTGTAGCAACAATTAACTACATTTTTTATCACTGGAACATTCTTTAAGCAATAATTTACGACATTTCAAACCCCTATAATAAACTTATTGTAAATGTAATAATAATTTATTACATTCTTAATCCTTAGAAAATGCTCTGTAGAAACTAATTATAACTATCTAGTTTAACCTGGGGACAAAAAATGTCTTTTCCTCAACCTATTACAGTTAAAAATTAAAGAAAAAATCTCTTGTACTTTTAATTTCTACATTTTAAATCTAAGGACAAAGGATTTAAAGCAACAATAAACAACATTTTTAAACCCGAGAAAAAAAGTAACTACACTTTAACCTACATGTAGAGAGACAAAACCACACACGTCAGCTCACTCCGGATTGATCCACGAGACAAAACCTCACACGTCAACTCACTACGAACTAAACCACGAGACAAAACCTCACACGTCAGCTCACTCCGGATTGAACTACGAGACAAAACCTCACACCTCAGCTCTCTGCGGATTGAGCCACGAGACAAAACCTCACACGTCAACTCACTACGGATTGAACTACGAGACAAAACCTCACACGTCAGCTCTCTACGGATTGAACCACGAGACAAAACCTCACATGTCAGCTCACTCCGGATTGAACCACGAGACAAAGCCTCACACGGCAACTCACTACGGATTGAACTACGAGACAAAACCTCACTCCTCAGCTCTCTACGGATTGAACCACGAGACAAAACCTCACACGACAGCTCACTCCGGATTGGACCACGAGACAAAACCTCACACGTCAACTCACTACGGATTGAACTACGAGACAAAACCTCACACCTCAGCTCTCTGCGGATTGAGCCACGAGACAAAACCTCACACGTCAACTCACTACGAACTAAACCACGAGACAAAACCTCACACGTCAGCTCACTCCGTATTGAACCACGAGACAAAACCTCACACGTCAGCTCCCTCCGGATTGAACCACGAGACAAAACCTCACACCTCAGCTCTCTACGCATTGAACCACGAGACAAAACCTCACACGTCAGCTCTCTACGGATTGAACCACGAGACAAACCTTCACACGTCAGCTCTCTACGGATTGAACCACGAGACAAACCTTCACACGTCAGCTCTCTACGGATTGAACCACGAGACAAAACTTCACACGACAGCTCTCTACGGATTGAACCACGAGACAAAACTTCACACGACAGCTCTCTACGGATTGAACCACGAGACAAAACTTCACACGACAGCTCTCTACGGATTGAACCACGAGACAAAACCTCCCACGTCAACTCACTACGAATTGAACTACGAGACAAAACCTCACACCTCAGCTCTCTACGGATTGACCCACGAGACAAAACCTCACACGTCAGCTCACTCCGATTGAACCACGAGACAAAACTTCACACGTCCGCTCACTCCGGATTGAACCACGAGACAAAACCTCACACGTCAACTCACTACGGATTGAACTACGAGACAAAACCTCACACGTCAGCTCACTCCGTATTGAACCACGAGACAAACCTCACGCGTCAGCTCACTCCGGATTGAACCACGAGACAAAGCCTCACACGGCAACTCACTACGGATTGAACTACGAGACAAAACCTCACTCCTCAGCTCTCTACGGATTGAACCACGAGACAAAACTTCACACGACAGCTCTCTACGGATTGAACCACGAGACAAAACCTCACATGTCAGCTCACTACGGATTGAACCACGAGACAAAACCTCACACGACAGCTCACTCCGGATTGGACCACGAGACAAAACCTCACACGTCAACTCACTACAGATTGAACTACGAGACAAAACCTCACACGTCAGCTCTCTACGAATTAAACCACGAGACAAAACCTCACACGTCAGCTCTCTCCGGATTGAACCACGAGACAAAACCTCACACGCCAGCTCACTCCGGATTGAACCACGAGACAAAACTTCACACGTCAGCTCACTACGGATTGAACCACGAGACAAAACCTCACACGCCAGCTCACTCCGGATTGAACCACGAGACAAACCCTCACACGTCAGCTCACTCCGGATTGAACCACGAGACAAAACTTCACACGTCAGCTCACTCCGGATTGAACCACGAGACAAACCCTCTCTTACAGTAACCCCCAAAATTTCTTAACAACGGATAAAAGCATCGTCACAACAATTTACTGCACTTAAACCTAAAAGAGACAAAACATTGTCATCTTAATCTAATATAGTATAAACCCTAAAAGAGACAGAACATTGTCATCTTTATCGAATATAATTTAATCTTGCTTGTAACAAGCATTTTCATTGGCTAAACAATTTATGTTATCCAATCCATAACGTAAAAAGTGACGTCGCCGTTTGTAACGTCGCTTTTGATTGGCTGATACAACAGCGTTATAATTTCTAAGAGAAAAGAGTCAATCAATAAAAGTGGATTTCCACAGGGATTGTGTATATATATTGAATTATAAGGATTGACTTGAATATATTTTTTATGTTATGTAGCTATAACACAAAAAACCGGATTGTACTCTCATCATAAACCGCGGAGCGGTTTATGATGAGTATACTCCGTTTTTTTTGTTTTATAGCTACATAACATATTTTTTTATTGAAGTTAATCCTTAAATAGTATAAACCCTAAAAGAGACAAAACAGTAACCTGAAAATACTAAAATGTAAACCTGGGGAAACTAGGTTTTCCAACGGTATTTCTTACATGCAGCTATAATCGTAAACCATTCTGTTTTAAATTTCATAAGAACGATAACTTCCTCGTTTTTGGCACATAAATCTCATCAATACGTTCCCAAGTCGCGGCTTAGTTTTGAAACAGTTCAATAAATAGTGCTGTTATATGTGATGTTGACAGCATCTGTTGAATAAGGTGCTCAGGGACGGTAACATGAATTAGTATGTGTCAAACGAACAGCAAATAAACTGTCGCTTATCATCTCCTTATAGACATGGACCTTCTCCATTAGAATTCTAACCCTGTCGCGGGGCACATCCCTTAAGACAAGATCATTGCCGATTCGGTATCACTGAAGTTCCCGGAGAATGGATATCTATCATAGTTTGTTTGAAATAACAAACGAGAGAATTTGTCGACTATATATCATACCAGAGAATGCATTGTGCATTGGAAGGTTTCGGTATTTTGATGACTTTCTATCTATTTCCTTTCTTTTAAAATACTACAGAATTATTCAATTATGAGTCTACATGAGTATAACAATCTCACAAAACAAAAATTATTGAACTTTCTTTTCATACATAACACGGGATTGGCCTTTGCTAGTGATGGGATAATTTTGTGTGGGGCTGCTTTGGCCGAGTTGTTAAGGCGTCTGTCTGACCGTCTACGATTACTTGCCCCCCCCCCCCCCCCCCCCAACACACACACACACAAACACGAATGGGTCGTGGGTTCAAGGCCTATGTGAGGCAGTTGCCATGCCATGCATTGTCCGCAGGTCGGTGTTTTTTCTCTGTGTACTCCGGCTTTTGTGCACCACCAAAACCTGGCATATCTTTAAGTGACAATAGCTGTTGATAGGTCGTAAAACACTAACAACCCAACTATGTTGGGGTTATACGATTTTAATACTATTCACACTTAATATCAACAGTTGTTAAATCATATCCCAGATCGCACCGATCATAGGGATATCGGCTAATGTAAAATTGTATTATCTCTGTTAATCTAGAGAGTAAGAGAACCTTGTAACATGTGGTGTTGTTCGTGACTTGCTGTCATTGATAGACGTGTAGCGCATACCGGGCTGTGGGAAGTCTTACTATTATCACAGCATCCTTTCGCTTCTACTATCCTTAGGTCTCAGTCGCTCTCTTGTACAATTGATTCCCAGTGTCATGTCCGCCGAAATGAGATTTAAAGAATAGTATGATTTAAGTGTCTGAATGATAAGAAAATCAACATCTGTATGATTTCAAATCTTTACTGTCAGGTAGTTACGCCTCAGAGCTGACAATAAATTATATACAGTTCCGTGAAAACAACACGAAGACAAGGCAATACACTGTGATTACCAATAATATATGTGTCATGGCGTCTGGCTCAAATTGGATTTGAAAACTTGTGTTCTACGCGTTGTAAGCTCTGTATTGCAAAGCTGGAATTGGAGGATAATGTGATTACCGGCTAGGTGAGATTCGCACGTATATAAGTTCTGTATGACCTCCAACAACAAACAGAGCATTCGTGTTTTAGTACTACTGGTCCTTTTGTTGATAAAACCAAAAACAAAAAAGAGGAAAAGAAGGTCAAAGAGACGATAATATGGAATGGAATGTAAATATAAGGGACCATCTAACGTCGACACCCGCCCTAGTATGGTCAATTAGGGAATTGGAGTACATATGTATTTACTGCTCGTCCTAGTCGGACAACTAAGATAAACAATATACATGTTTTCTTTTTTGAGATATAACAAGCAAATTACTTTTTGGCTAAATAATTTACCATCTTTATGCCACGATAATTATATTCTCTGCCTATCAAATCTCAAATATCACGTATTCCTAAGTTAAGATGGTGTCTACAGTGAGTTTGCCCTCAGTCATCGCAGTATATTTACATTTGCATGGCATTGTCACTATATAGCCTCTTTGGAAGCTGTGTCGTTGATGGCACTTAATTACCATGCATCACGAGACACAATTCTTAGCGTATTGATACAATATAAATAAACATGACGGCTGCTGAAATATCGCTGGGCATTGTGAGATTTGACAATGTCATTGTAAATGTATGTGCAAAATAAAAAATAAAATAAAAAACACTTTTATTACAACGAAAACAAGACCAAGGTCTGCAATATCGTACAAAATGCACATCGGTTGAAATCACCAATGCCGGCAATGGAAACAATTTTAACGCTCATGCAATTTATCAGAAATATCGTCTGTTACACTGCGCTGATCAACAGGGGTTCGTTACAAATGTCTGTAATACACATAATCTATAGACCTACTGGCACATATGTTACAGACCTACTGATATGAGGCACACATAAACATTTCAGACATTTGTAACGAACCTGTGCTCCTTTGCAAGATCACTCACTTCAAACGCTATCAGTTTCACGCGTCTCGCATCCACGGTTCCTCAGTTTCTGACGACATGTCAAATAACGAGTCTGTTATAGAATCTACCGACTGTTGTCAGGTTTCCATACAATCAACAAATAAATTCACTTTGGATTCTTCACAAAATGAGCAAAGAGAAAAGTTCGAATTAACTTCCAAAAATAACTCCCTCGTGGAGGGCAAGGTCGGACTTACCGTGTTCATTGTATTTGTCCATGCGCGAAATCTGTTCCGGGGAAAAATCGAAATAATTTCAAATCTAACTTTCAGCTCAGAGTTCTATTGATAACCTTAAATCACCTTATAGATATTTCCTACGCAATTGTATTGATACTGAAATGTGGAATAAAATTAGTGTTTGTTAAAATTACAAAGTACTACGTTGTTTGCCAATCAGCACGCGACAATACGCTGTTCAAACTATTAAACGAAATTGTGTGGACTGTCGATAATGCGGGCATTTTTAATTTTAAATATAAATTATAAGTTAAAAAAGAACATAAGAGGCAGAGTAAACATAAATATAAGTATTGAACTGTTTTTGTATGGTATTTATGATTTATTTGAATGACTCAGCTTTGCACGCATTGTGCTGTTTGCTTGCAAAGCTGTGTCATTCAAATAGATCATAAATACCATACAAAAACAGTTCAATGCTTCAGTACTCCACGGATTTCTGGTCATCACGATAAGGCTAATGTACAAACATGTAGGTACAATATGGACTCGTCCAATCACGAAAAGAGGAAGTACGGCAACAACACGTACTCTCATCAGACTCACAGATGTGTATGTCTTCATGACATACCCCATACGGCCATGCAATCCAGCACAACGCCAAGTCAAGTAAAGAAAACAAGTATCAGACTGCTACCACTATCTAGATTTGATAGACTTACTTAAGGAAGTACCAAGTGAATAACTTCACGATACGTGTTCTTAATTCATTCTCTGACAGACATTCATAATTCTGACATCTTGTTATGCATGTTAAAGCACGTGCTCTGACATATTTATATTTTTCAACTTAATGTTACTTGTATTTGTAATAGGTTGGAACAATTGTAATATTTATATTTGGTGTTTTTTTGTAATTGTATCACATGTTATTTGATGATGTTTCCACGGGATTTTTTCTAGCGGACAAAGCGTCTGTTACCTAGATTTTTTCCCCAGTGTAATGAAAATCAAAGATGCTTATTTGTTCTAAGAAGTAAGCTATGAATTAAATGTAATCAAAATGACATTTTTTCATTCTTTATTTGAGATTAGGACCATATATACTGGCTACGGACCGCGTCGCCGGTATATTTACTCCATGTGTCAATACTCATATCATTTGTACTCTTCTTTGTAAGCTATACATGGTACATTATGACGAGCGTCTTGATGATGTTGAATAAATGTAAAACTGGAAATAACTGGTTGCTTGTGAACAACAGCTAGGAGAGGGACGACTGGTTCGCCCGTTGTCAGTATAATGTGACCGGGACGGGTGTCCTGCTCGGTGTCTTTGGCAGTATTTTCAGTGGGGTAGCACTTTAAAGTCGGCATCAGTTACGCATTATTACAAGGAGACAAACACGAACATATCGCAGCCTCCCAAAACACACACGCATACACTACACGCATGCATCTTGCACACATGGGAGGCCGTCCTTAAATGACCATAGCTGTTGATAGGACCTTAAAAAATACTAAACAAAACCAAACGACGATCGACATTGTATACAGTAAAGGTGGGATCAACATTTGGCCCCCTCTTTGATTTCTTTTATTCTTTTGCCATGTGTAGATACGTAAAAATGATCAATAACTGCCTATATGTATGATTATTCATAATTACAACTGATAACCGTAGTGGACCTCCTTGCATAACACCAGGTTGAGTGACGGGGTATCCTAACAAAATGACAGATAAATGTCACAGGAGAATTATGATAGTGTACAGTGCATAACATTACTGTTATTTTGATACTAAATATGTCATATTGGTATACATAAAGTAAGCGTAGTG